GAGTTTGGACTGCTTTAGCCTCTTCATATCCTCAGCCGGGATATCGTTCTTCACCGAAGCAAGGTACTTGATGAGCTCGACATGACTCCATTTCTTGGCCTCCGCTTCTCCCTCAGCGGCAGGTGCAGGATTGAGAAGCCTGGTGAAGATGGTCTCCAAGTCAAGAGTCTTGCGAACTCCCAAAGCCACCAAAAACTTCTCTTTGAGTCTGTCGCAGCCTTCGATGGTCGGAAGGTCGTGGAAAAGCTTGACACTGGAGAAGAAAGATTCCTTGGGCTTGCGCATGCCCAACTTTGTGGGGATCACGGGCAGGTGTTCCAAGGCCGACACCACGGATGACTTATCGCTAGGACTCAAATTGTCCCAGTTCTTTGAAAGAACCGAAAGAACTTGAACAGAGAACTTGCTGGACTTTGTAAGATTATGCTCCTCATCCTTGCTGGACCCAGATGCGATCAAGAACCTAAGCCAAGGGACGATACCTAGAGGCTCCCAGCCAATCGACTGCAACTGGACTTCGGGGATATCGGCAGTAAAAGCGACAGGAATGGTGGTTGGGGGAATAGGCAGCGTGGCTGGTATCCTGTTGTTGAGATAATTCTTGATGGAGCCCAAGGCAATAATCTCACCACCATTCCCATCATCAGAAACTGTAGCCACAGCAACATCGAGAACATGCTGGATATGGTGGTATTTGAGTTCACCCGATGCGGCAGTCTTGGCTAACCACACCACAAAATGGTGAAGCTGATGTTTGTCCATGGCCTTCGAGCCCAGCTCCTTGACAACATCGTCGACAGTGATGTGCTCGAGCAGCCCATAATCTATCAGTTTTTGAATGAACGGGGCAGCTTGCATGTCCTTCAGGATGATCGGGATTCCGCTCAGGAACTTTGCGTAATCCTCAGAGAACAGCCGAACCTTGTCCGTCTGCAACACACCCTGAGAAGAGTAGACTTCGATAGAAGCCTTCCTGTAAGAGGTCCAGAAGGCCTCCTCGATGATCTTCGCCACCTGGGCGCTTGGAGTAGAGTCTTCGAACGAGTAGGTCTTGAGGATATGGAGAGCCTCCGGCACAAATTTCTGGACATCTTCAAGAGCATATCCGGATTCCTTTTTGTTGTTCTTGGAACTGGACAACCTCTTCAGCTTCTCGTTTAGATCCGACATGTCATTGACAAAGGCGAGTCGCGAAATGATGCCTGCCACACGAAGCATTTCGATGTTCCAGGTTCGCACCCAGCGAGCATTCAAGTCGATGGCCTCGCGCTCCACAGTCGGGATGACTGACGGCGCAGAAATGTGCATGCCGGCACCAGTGGTCTGGGTAGTCGGGAAACCGATGAAGACGCGTCCACCAGGCTTCTTGCTAGGTAACACAGAGGAGAAGATATCGATGGCCTTGGCAGCCTTGTTGGAAGCAACGGACTCCTCTGAGGCGACGGTTTCATCGTACGAAGAAGTTAGAAGGGCGATCCGAGTGGTTTTCGGAGGAGGCTTTTTTGTCGCACGCTCCAATTCAGCTGCAAATGAAGAAGAGACGCTGGTGGCTATTTGGGCCGCAGTGATGCGGAGGAAAATGGTCGAGGTGGAAACAGCAGTGAGATCCTCGGCGATTGCTTCCTGTATTTCCTTTTCTTCCTTTGCCGCCTTTGTGCGCTGTGCCGTCTGAGCAGCGGAGGAAGTAAATCTGGAAAAGAATCCCTTCAAACCAGATGGCTCTGGTGTGTATGCAGATTCGGTCGACTTGTTTGACGATGACGCGGGCTTAGGCTTCCAGCCTAGCACACTCATAAAGCTGGCATCTATCTGCGTGCTGGTTTGTTCAGCTGCTGTGAGCTTCATGAGGCCATCCTTGGTTCTAGTTTCGAGATCTCGTGGAATAGAAATCTGAGCACTAGGTGATGACTTCTTCTGCAGGGCGAGAACTCTCCAATCGTCGATCCAGAACTCGATTTTCTGTAGGGATACAAAGGTCAAACTGGTCCCAAGGAACTGACTGACAGACAGTAAGTTAGGCAGAGGCGTTGTTGTGTTGCGGTAATCGAGGACAAAAGCGGTTTCGCGACTATGCTGTTCAACCGGAAGTTGTAGCTTCCTAGTGAACAGAGCGTTTCCCTTCCAGTAGAACGCCATGGCTTCCTTTCCTGAGCTGACGAATGGCTCCTCGCAATCAGCAAAGACGCTGTAGAAGCCCACGCCAAAAGCACCAATCTTGGTCTCATCCGGGTTGCCCTCAGCTATCCTCTTCAAGCGGGCCCAATCTGTGTTGGCAAAGGGCTGGCCATCGTTCTGCACTAATAGGCGACGGAGAGTGTGATGTGTGAGGGTGTGCTTGAGAAGCTCTGAGGGGTCGGTGGTCTGCGGAGCCGGAACACTGACGGAAGGTATCGTCTCCCATTTGATCTTGACCGTGGTTGCCTGGGCATCGGCGGCGTTCTGGATGAGTTCTCTGAGCGTTGTCCATTCTCCAGAGTATCTGGCCAGGACCTTGTCGATCAGGGCCCTGGTATCGACGGTGACTGCTTCTTCATCCTCGCCGTTCTGCAAAGCAGCGGCGCGAAGCTGCGAATAGTCCATGGTCTGAACTAAGGTGAAGAGTCCAGCCGGGTCATGCGCAGTGGCAGTTGGCTGGGCGAGTGGTATGTCGTGGTTTATTGTCAGACAGACAGCGTACGGGCGGAACTTTACCGTCCACTGAGCTGAGGAACTATGTTATACGATTGATGAGTCTTATGATGAACCGTCTTCCCGGGCGTAGAATCCGCGAGGCGTTATGTGATTTGAGAGTGGTTGTATGTATTAAAGTTGTAGTCAAGGACGATGTATTGTGAATGAAGTATGCGACGGGTCGTTGCCGTAAGTAAGGAAAGTGGAAGTGGCGGATTATCGTTAACCAGGAAAAGAAGTGTCCGGAAGGAAGAAGTTCAATGTATCCGAATGGAAATATAGCAAACTATTCAATGTGTGACCTGAAGACACCAATCCCAGCCAGAAACAGTTCCGCTGTGAAGTCGGTCGCAAGGTCAAAGGTAGCTGAATGCAATTGTTGATGAAAGGTCCAAAAGAGGTTCCGGTGAACGCCTCATCTCATCATCATTCATTAGTGTACACAAAGGTAGCATAGAGGTATGTCCAGACCGAGCGGCCTTCCAGCCCCAGGGGTAGGTAGGTAGATAGGCACGGCACGCTAGCAGGGTCCTCATTCAGCGCAGTGTATCCCTGAAACTCCACTAAAACAGATCCCCGCCATGCCCGGGCCTACCTTCCAGCACCGGGCCAGGCAGGCACGATCCACATCACATGAGCCAAAAGACGGGAGCTTCGAGCAGCGAAAGTAAAAGACGGTAAAAGAACGACACCCGGGTGTGGCAACATTTGCTCACGAACCGTTTCAAATCACCAAAAGGCTGGCGTAAGCTTAATAATCCATCACACTAGTAGGTGTAGTGCGCCGCTACCAAGACTGATGAATATACTGTACCAAAGATTAATCTATTCTGTTGACCCAAGACACCATGCTTGTATTCATAAGTACATACCAAATACAATTCTGACAATCTCATCGTCGATCATGCCTCGCTCTTCTATCCCTGCTCCTGCTCCGACCAGGACTATGGCTGCGCCTTCTGTGGTGGTGGTGGTGTCTTCCACGGTCTCTGCTCCGACTCCGATCCTGATCCCTCGTCCTATCACCGCGGTGTGAACGACGCTCAGGGCTCCGGCTTCTGCGACTAGAGCGGTGCTCTCTCCCTTCTCGGTCCGCCGGCCCGTCACGTTTCCGGTCACGGCTGCGGCTGCGGCTGCGATGTCTATCCCGATCGCGATGACGTTCCTGATCACGTTGCCTGTCGCGGCCATGACCACGCTCACGCTCACGACTCCTGCTCCTGTGCCTCCGTTTATGATGTCGCTCTGGGTCGCGGTGCCTATCTCTTCTCGACTCCCCTGCTTGCGCTTCTTTAGGTGCCAGTGCTGTCGATTGCTCCGCGGAACCTTTTTCTGTCCGCTCTGGGATTTTGGATCCTTGGACTTCAACAGCATTGGCGCCGCTGGTATTTCGTGGTGTGATGGGCAGGCCTAATGCGCGGTTGATGGCATCCTCTTCTGCTTCCTTTATCCTGCGGATTTCTTCACGGCGCTCGCGCGCTTCCTTCTCCTCCTCCGTCTCTCCGGCGTTCGCAGCCGAGGGTTCTGCCTTGGCGTACCAGTTGAGATCCCGCCCTTTGGCCCAGCGACCAACTGGAGCCTTCAGACTATGGCCGAGATAGTTCTCGCGGTGTGCTGAGCTGGCGACATCGTCCCAGCTGAAGTTGGCGCCGCCTCGCGACCCCGACTTGCGGACGGTCGAAAGAAGATCCATGGGAGATTCTATCACAAATGAGTTTCTTGATAGACTTTGTGATTTTGTATTTTGATTGTATTCGTTCTTTGGTGGTTTGTTTGAGTCGCGTCCCGTCGGCAGTCGGTGGTAAGTTGATGTGTTGAGTGAAGAAGTGTCTGCGTTTGGTTCTGTCGTTCAATGAATTGCGTATTGTGTACGCAGAGCTGCAGTCCCCACTCCAGTGTCACTGCGGGATGTGGGGCCCTCCACTGTCACTTTCATTTCCAGGGGACAAGGTCCGCTAAAGGCTGCAGTTAGCGCGGGGGGTACGGTGCCTGCCGGATCTTCCACACCCCACCCCACCCAACCTTAAACGCGTTGACGCCATGCTTTAATCTTTATCCGAATAGCATCATGGAGGTAGCTACCACCTGATTTCCATCTTCCAACTGCCATGGCTTCTCGACTACACTAATTTTAACGACGACTATTCCCGTTATATTCAGAACTTCTGGAACACCCAAAATCAAAATTCGTCACCAAATACGCTCCCTTCTTCTGGGATTTACCCGCAGAGGTTGTCCACAATTTTTCGCAAACCCCTTCGGCATTCTGTACAGCACCAAGCACAATCAGCGGCAACCTTTGGAACTACAGAATATAGAACGTATCAACAATGGCATTTGATCCATCGGTTAACGCCGGGCCTCCTCTCGACGAGATTCAATGGCACACTCCTCCTCAGTTCGAAGCAGGCATCCACTCAAACAGCATCCTCTACTACTTCGCTCAATCGCCATTCTATGACAAGACCTCCAACAATGAGGTCGTTTTCCAACAGGGTCTCAACAACCAGGCCATGTCCCAATATCTCGCCACCCGGGAGCTATTCGAGAGTCGACTGAGGGAAATGTCTGGGCTGGAGTTCATTGTTGCTCAGGAACCCGCTGAGACAGGTCCGGGGATGGGTACAGGTGTGTGGGTGATCAACAAGCAGACGAGGAGGAAGCGCCCACCGACGAACCCCGCGAGACCTGAGGATGGCCCGCCCGACGAGATCATCGTTCATTCGGTCTACTTTGTGGTGGGCGAGAACATCTACATGGCACCCACACTGGCAGATGTTCTTAGCTCCCGAATCGTATGTCTCTCGTTTTCAAAGAGAGCTAGCTCTCTTGCCGTCCGTAATGCTAACTCACGTCCTTGCCATCCAGGGAGCAATCGCCACCGCCATCACCAAGACCATCCCCCTAGTAGACGAAGTATCCGACTGGGCTCCCGCCGTCGGTCGCCGCTACATCACTCCCGCCCAACCATCCGCTGGCGCTGGTGCGGCTAGCGGTACAACCAACTATACCGCCTCGCGAACCGCCACTCCTCTCCCCGACGGTCTTCCCAGTACGGCAACTACCAACAAACCCGGCGCCAAGGCCGGCGGCGGAACCACCACAAACGACCCCCTCCTCGACTCCCTCCTTATGGAAGAAGCCCTCCTCACCCACGAACGCTACGGCACCGAATACATGGACGAGAACCCCATCACCGGCAAGCCGGGCGACTTCCACCTGACCTCGACCGGCCGCAAGACGCAAACCAAGAGCGCGTTGACCCTTAAGGAGGCGGCGGCCGCGCTGCCGGCTTTGAACACGAAGGGCTTGGGAGCCGCGGGAAGTAATCCACTTGCTAAAGGAGCGGCGGCGGCGGCGGCTGCGAATGCGAATGCCGTGACGGGTAAGGAGACCAAGAGCCCGAAGACGCCGGGTGGCGGTGGACCGCCGAAGCCGAAGAGGAGGAAGAGTAAAAATGTCATTACTACCCCCGGTGCGGCTTAGAAGGAGCACGGGGGAGATAAAGCACAAAAGAAGAAGAAGAAGAAGAACATGAAGGGTGCGAGGGAGGGGGCAATTGACATGGGGGGGACTTGACTCGAAGAAGAGATGCATTTAGATATATCGGCGTCGATTGCACATGGTCGGATGGCATTTGGCTTTAGGTACGGCGATTAGATACCCTAGGATGGTGGACAGATTGGTAATGTCCATGATATTTAAACATAGCGAGTATTTGTAGCAACGACGAAGCAGTTTCAGCTCGCCTGATCAATTAAGTGAACGGCATCAAATAGAGACTTGGTGAGGACCACAGATGTACCATAGGTTGAAGGAAGTCAACTCTTACAACGTCCCTTCCCCATAGGTAAAAAACGAAGCTCACATCATCAAACCAAAACGAGAACGTCTATGCAGAAAACCAACAATCAAAACACCTTGATTGCTTGAAACACAGACCTTACTTCTGAAATCCTTATCTATATAAAACGCCATGGAAAGCCATGTTTTCTACTCAACAATCCACCCCTGCCCGGCCACCTTCCTCTGCTTCACCTTCCTAGCCGGCAACGGCCACCCCATTCCTCCTTGCCCTTCTGCTCTCAGATACGGTACCACCCAAACCTCCCTCTCTTTCCCATCTTTACTCTCTGACCCCTTAACCTCCTTAATCGGCTTTCCGTACGTAATCAGCGGCGTCCCCTTGGCCAAACTCGCCAGCTGACCCGCCGTCAAGTCCGTCAGCGCATGCATCCTCGTCTTGGCCCGCTTCTGTCCGTCCGCGCCCGTGTTGCCTGCCTTTTGCAGATAGGCGTACACGATGTAGTCCGGGCATTCGTCCACGCTTAGGTGGGCTAAGGGAGACGAGGGGTGGATGTAGACTAGTTTTTCTTCCAATTCTAGTTTCCTGCCGTCCTCGCCTTCGAGCGGGATCAGGGGCAGGTAAGGAACGTCAATAGCGCGCTTGGGCTTGCGGTACATCTCGGGCGGCGTGGGGGCCTTGTCAGCGCGGATGGCGACTTGGTCGATAAAACCCGCGGCAACCATTTGTTTTAGGGCTTGCACTTGTTTTTGCGAGGGCGGGTCGAGCGTGTCGGGCACGGAAAGGTTGGCGAAGGCGGGGATGTTGGTTCTCAACAGGTCGATGAGCTGTTTTTGGAGTTGTTTGATTTCTTTGAGGACCTTGAAGCGAACAAAGTGGGAGTCGCACCAGGATTCCGTGGGGTCGTGCGCGAACTCGCCGACGACTTGGAGGAGCTTGATGGCGTCGGACTTGTCGTCTAGATAGCAGAAGTTCTTGTGGACGGCGTTGAAGGCGGCGCAAATCTTGGCGCGGCGGTCGTCAGCAAGGACGTCTTCGGTAGTGCGGAAAGTGACGGCGCGGGAGTCATCTTCATCGTCTGAACCGCCGGCGTCGTTCTTCTTGGCTTCTTGGACTGCGGCGGCGGGGATGGCTTGGTTCTCGGGAATGTAGATCTCACCGGCTGAGAGACCGGCTACGAGCGCAACGGTGTAGGGAAGGCAGTCGTGGAGATGTCCGATGAGAAGGATGCGGGCGAAGCGCGGGGAGAGCGGGAAGATGGACATGGTAGATCCGATGGGGGTGACTTGGCCAGTTTGGGAGATGGCGTTGAGGTAGGTCAAAAGCTTCTCGGCCTTGATCAAGCTTTCGCGCGGTGGCGGCGTGGGGAAGGGGAAGTTGACGACGTGCTGGAGGTTCATGGACTTGAGCTGGAGCACGACGCCTTCGATGGGCATGCGAAGCAGCTCGGGCTCTGAGAACTCGGGGAAGTCTCTTTCGTAAACGGCCGAGGAGTAGAGTCTCCAGCAGTGACCCGGACCGGTACGACCGGCACGACCGGCACGCTGCTTTGCGCTGGCCTTGCTGATCCACCCAATCTCGAAACTCTGGACGCCACTGACAGGATCGTACTTTCTCTCCTTTGACCTTCCAGTGTCGAAAACGTACTTGATGCCGGGAATTGTCAAGGATGTTTCAGCGACGTTGGTAGCCAGGATGACGAGACGGTGGCCCTCTGGGGGCGGCTCAAACACCTTCATCTGCTCTTTCGTGGGGAGCAAAGAGAAGAGAGGTAGGATATGCATCTTCAATGGCCCTGTACCAGATTCTTGGTCCTCAATCTCGAACTCCTTGTCTTCCTCCTCGTCCGACGCAATGGAGATATCGTCATCGTCTCTGTCGTTGATGTTGCGGTCATCCTCAACGTCGCCAAAGTCGATGTCTTCGACTTCCATGGGTGCCTCCTTCGCAGAAATCCGCACCTTGGTGGTGCTGGCGGTGTTCATACCGCCACCAAAACGCGCCTTCAACCGCTTGCTGAGCTGGGCAATTTCACCCTGACCGGTCATGAACACAAGCATGCCACCAGGGGGCAGTTTCCTGTGGCCCCTGCAAATCTTGCGGAATGCCTCATCAACGTAGTCGTGGTTTGTCTTTTTGGCAAAATGCATGGTAACAGCATGCTCACGGCCTTCTACCTCAATGATGCGAGGAGTGGTGTGGAACAAGTTAGAGTTTTGGGTGAATTCCTCGACCCTGAGGGTGGCGGACATGATGATCAGCTTGAGAGGCTTGATCGTGGGGTCTTCCTCCGCCAACTCTCTCCTAAGCTTGACCACTCTGCTGAGCATCGCAATCAGGATATCGGTATTGACGCTTCTCTCGTGGGCTTCATCAATAATGATGGCAGAGTACTTGCGAAGAGCAATATCGATGGCCGCCTCACGAAGCAAGACACCATCCGTCATGAACTTGATGGCCGTCTTGGAGTCAACGGTGCCTTCGAATCTGATTTGGTAGGAAACCACATGTGAATAGTCTCCCATTTCTTCGCCAACACGCTTCGACATACTGACAGCAGCGACACGTCTCGGCTGGGTAACACCAATCATGCCAGGAGTAGGTCCATCCGGAACACCGTAACCGGACTCGAAGAGGAACTGGGGAACCTGCGTGGTCTTGCCGGAACCGGTGGCACCGCAAATGATGACAATGTCGTTGTCGTGAATGGCCTCCATAATCTTCTGTTCCTCTGCAACAACCGGTAACCTGAAACGAGTTTCCTGGATCTCGGGTGTCCTGGTAACTACCACGGCGAAAGCCTTGCGGGAATCGTTCTTTGTTGGTTGCAGCTCGATAGGCAGAGGCTCTTGTTCGATCGGCCGAGGCGTAAAGTTGGCAGGTTTCGGTATCTCGAGAATGTTTGACTCGGCAGGCTTGTAACCCAAAGCTTCGTTCCTCGCCTGATGTGCCCAAGCCTTGAAGGCCGAAGATTTTGCTTTCTTGTCCTCCTCGGCGTCCTCCATGTCCTCGTCGGATTCTTCCGCAGAATCATCGTCTTCTGAATCATCTTCGGAACCCTCTTCGTCCTCTTCAGATCCATCCTCTTCTCCCGATTCCTCCTTCTCCTCACCCTCCTCCTCCTCTTCACTGCCTTCTTCCTCGCTGCCTGAGCCACTACCCTCGGACTCTTCATCGTCTGAACCCTCTTCGCCCTCCGAACTGAAACCGTCCCATTCTACCACTTCCGGCACAGGAATGACTGCGGGAGCTTGCGATGATGTAAAGTTGTGCTTCGTTTTCACACCTCCTCTCTTTTGTCTCTTGGCAAGTATTGGGCGTCCTGACTCGTCGACCTCTAAGGGGCGCTTGAGACCAGCACCGACTGGTACTGGCAGGCTTGTTGACGTTGTCGTCGCTTGTACTGGTGTAGGCTCGCTTGTTTCCGCTGGCGCGCTCTTTGGCTTCTCGACTGCCGAGTCCTGCTCATCTTCCGAGCCCTCCGAATCCTCGTCGACCGTGGGTTTAGGCTTTGGTACTGGTGCACCTTCCTTCACCTCTCGCTTTTCATAAAGTTTCTTGGCCGCCTCCTTCTCTGTTATAAGTCCAGCTTTTGCTTCCTTGACAAGTTGGCTGAGCTCCTCCTTTTTGGTCAATTTTGTCTGGCCAAGTGATTTTGTGCTTGAGAATAGGGAGGTGTCAATCTTGTTGGCGGCAAGCTTGGCCAGGAGTTCGCGGTTCTCGTCCTTCCTGAGCTTTGTGTCGATGTACTTTTCGAGTCTCTTGGCCTTCTTGCTGCTGACCTTGACGCCCGCAGGCCTCAATTCCTCCCGTAGCTCGGTCTTCTTCTTTTCGGCATCCGTGGTGGTTTCCTGTCCGGGAGCGATCTCGAGGACGTTGGTGTCTTCGGGGTCTTGTGTTCCCTTACTCCTCGACCGCTGGCGATCAAGCTGCTTGCGCTTGCGCTGACGCGGCACGAACTTCCCGCCTATGGCAACCATGTTGTTGTTTTGTTGGGTGTGCTCGGAGCGAGCAGTGACGGCAGAAATGAGGGCCGGTGTCGCGACGGCAGAATGCAACGAACTGAATGTCACTAAGTACCCTGAAGATTTGAAGATTAAATCTTGTCCGCCTGGCAGAATTTCTGCGCTAAATGTGGCACCCCACGTTTTGGGGGCCTGTGAGGGTCCAGGACAGTAACTGAAGTAACCCAGCTACAGTGCGCGTACAGTTTGCTATGTTTCGCGGGTCCATCCTGAACCTCTGCAGCCCAGCCCACTCCGGCTCCATCAACAAACATCACGATGGAGTCCCGAGTCTAACCTCTGAATATGTAGAGACATCAGAGAGTACTATCCTACCAGAAGTACCGAAGCCGAAGTTATCCCCCTACGGTCTTATCCTTCGAGACACACGCAGTTTTTCGAGTCTTGCAACTGTCCATACTTCACCACGTCCAGAACTCACCATGTCTGAGGACGCAGTCAGGCAAGAGCCATTCCCGTCACCTTCCAGGCAGGCAACTGGGCTTGTCAACGGAGTGGAAACTGAGGTTTCATCAATGAACTTCTCGGACAAGATCATGGTCACCATTTCTCAAGGTGGGCGCCTTGCTCAGTGGGTAGGTTCAAGAGCGCCCGAACGCCATCCCACTTACAATCTACTGACATACCATGTTTTAGGTCCAAGTACAACTAGCCGCACCTTCTTCAGCGTCAGTAGACATGGCTCTTCCTGGCGCCGGTAGCCTGTTACCATCAGAACATTTAACAGCAACGACTCTTCTTGGAGGTGGAAATGCGGAGAGGGAGACCATGGGCCAGCTTTATGCCAGTCAAATTGCCAGTCTCCTGACTCTGCGCAATCCCAATGAGCAGCGGTCTTTGTTGCTTGGTTTGGGCCTGGAGAAGGTCGACACCACTACTAGTGACTCCTTCTATGACGTGGTCGAGTTGGTACAACAAGTCCTCTGATAGTAAATGTCATGGAGCGAACGATATCTCGCAGTAACAAGTTCGAGTTGGAGCTATCGCGGTGAGCAGTTCTGGTGAAGCGAGGAGTAGGAACCGAATGTGTGGTTATCGGGAATGAGCATGTTCGCAACTCGGTGGATGCCCCTGTGGTCGGCTGAGAATATGTAAGTGAGGGCTGGTCTGTCTTAAGGCGGGTTCTGGGAAGACAGGGAAACAATGGCTGGGCTGTTGACCAGTTTAATCCTGGAGGTGTAGAACACAGAACAATGGAGGGTAGTGAGCCCGATCTTGCAGCAACACAAAAGATGTGTGTCAAACAAAAAGCGACTCCAGGCAGATCGACAATTTCGGGCAAGGATCCAACAGGATGATAGGATGATGTTGAAGGCAAGAGGGGCTCAAGTGGACGAGCTGAGGGACAAGGCTTAGCCATAGACCCTAACCCTGTTGGATGAAGCGGAAATATGTGGCTTGTGGAACTGGCAGGCTGGCCTTGGCACACAACAATTGCTGAGGAACGGTGTGGCTTGCGTGCGTGGTGCGGCTCAAGCCCGGAGCTTGGACCACCACTTGTGCCCACCAAAAAAAATACACAGCCCTAAATTTGACTTGTACGAGACCCGTGAAGCGTCTCTTAGAAGCATCAACCGACGTCGACAGAACGAGCTTCATCGGCACCACCAGCAGACAACATGGTATGGCAATTGCTGCACGACTATCGCAGGACGAAACGCTGATTCAGTCATCATGTAGCCTACTCGGTTTTCCAAGACAAGAAAGCACCGCGGACATGTAAGCGCCCCCTCGAACTTTGTCGTCGCCGATCCGACAGATGACTGACTGGAGTGATTTTATAGGTTTCCGCCGGTAAGGGGTATGTCGCCAACCGATCGACTGACCGATAAACACGAACAAGTATTGACAGCATTATTCCAGCCGTGTCGGCAAGCACAGAAAGCATCCAGGGTACGTACCGCCGCTTCTGCAGATTCGAAGTGGGAAAACCATGATGCTAACAATGGGAACAGTGGTCGTGGTATGGCCGGTGGTCAGGTATGCCGATAGAAACTCCAACGACTCGATCTCGAAAACACGCGATACTAACCCGACGATAAGCACCACCACCGTACCAACCTCGATAAGTGTACGCAACCCCGAAAATAAACGGTCGGCGCATGTTGGAGGGCGCATGGTTCAACCTCACTTCTCCGACATGCGACCAGGCCTTGCCCCTCGATATAATGAAAATAAACGCTGACGATGACGGATAGACCATCCTGGTTACTTCGGTAAGGTCGGTATGAGGCACTTCCACCTCCTCCGCAACCACCAGTGGGCCCCCATCCTCAACATTGAGAAGCTCTGGACTCTTGTCCCCGCTGAGGCCCGCGAGAAGTACGTCTCTGGTGCCGCCACCGAGACTGCTCCCGTCATCGACCTCCTCTCCCACGGCTATGCCAAGCTCCTCGGCAAGGGTAAGAACAAGCAATTGCAAAGAAACACCCCCGAGAATGCCCGTCTAACAACCCATTCTAGGCCGTCTCCCCCAGGTCCCCATCGTCGTCCGTGCCCGCTACGTCTCCGCCGAGGCTGAGCGCAAGATCAAGGAGGCCGGTGGTGTCATTGAGCTCGTTGCTTAAATTCTGAATGCGGCATGATATATTCAAGGACTGGCGATTTGGCATTACGGTACGAGGGAAACCGGAAACGAACCCGATGGTCATGGATCGAACAGTCGGACAGACGAACAACGACAAGATTCGGTCCCGGAGTCCTGGATGGGTCAGAGGTGGTTGAAAATCTCAGCGCCTCGTCTGCAGCATTTAGGGAAATGGCAGTTCATTTGCATCGCAACATTGGGTCCGGGATCTCGTTCACAACCGTGCCATGCTGCAGACTGGCGAACTCGGGTGGTCCCGAGAGGGTAACCCGGGCCGCGGCTGCGTCGCAAACTGCTGATTCAGGGGCAAGTAACGAATAAATGAAGGCCTATGCCCGACGGTCGGTTGATCTCATCTATGAGCATTTCCTTGGCCATTGTGAAGTTGAACATTCGTCTAGTAGCCCACTCCCAGCAGACTGGATTTGTTTGTCCTGTCGTCACGTCATGAGATCCCCAGTGTGAGGCCGTTATATGCCTTTGTCTGTTACCATCGGTCTGTGATGTTACCCGGCCCTAATTCGGACAAGTCCGCATGATGTAAGTCGCATTGTTGCACTTGAACCAATACATGTTGAGAATCATGAACCAAAACACACTAGCACCAGCCTCTGTTGACGTCCGCTTTCCCCGCTTCATACTACATGGTACTTGAGAACAGTTTCCCCTCTTGATAGCCGCCTCATCCCGACACATCTCATCTCTCGATAAAGTTGTCCGCCATGGCTGGAAGTTCAGCAGCGATCAAGCTTAATGAAAACGGGATTCCAGACTTCGACGCTCTCCCACTTCGAAAGGGTGATCCCAAGTACTCCGCCTGGGGTTTATATGGAGATGAAGACGAGTTGGGAACTCTGAACAGGCTTACCGACGAGCGAGTTGCCGAAGCAGCAAAGAATGAGATCAAGACTGGTTTGAGGTGCGATTTATTTCTCGACCTTTTCATTTACTCCTTCGGCCTCATCATTTACGTCTAACCGCCAACAACCGACCATCAGAATCTCCCTAAATTGGCCACTCAACGCCCAAAAAGACTCGGGCTTCTTCAACCGCAAGCTCTTCCACCAAGACCTCTTCGCCAAACCGCCGCGGTGCGTCAACGACGACATTTGGACCTTCAACACGCAGGTGTCCAGTCAGTGGGATGGGTTGAGACACTATGCTTATCAGAAGGCGAAGAAGTTCTACAATGGAGTGACGATGGAGGATATTCATGCGGAGGGAAGTGAGGTTAATGGGATACAGGGTGAGTGGTGTGTTTTTTTTTCTTTTTCGTCATCTTTTTCAACGTAGTAGTTAGTCATGAGTTTGGTTTCAGGTCATGCATGCATGCATGGATGGTGACGACGACGACGATGACGACGACGACAAAGGAGGGTTTTGGCGACGACCAGGACGAGATAAAATGAGAGAGAGAGAGAGAGAGAGAGAGAGAGGGTGTGATGCTAACATGAAAAACAGCATGGGCACAAAAAGGCATAGTAGGCCGTGGCATCCTCGTCGACCACCACTCCTGGCGTCTGGAGCAGATTATTAGTAAGAAGCCGAACCCGGATCCGAGACTAGTCAACTTTGACCACTTTGCTACCACGCCCATTCCTCTCGAGGATATACACGCTTGTTTGGAAAGTCAGGGAACGGAGATCAAGTTTGGGGATATTCTGTTTATTCGGTCTGGTAAGGTGTTCTTCTAGGTTACCCCTTTGCCTTTGCCTTTTCTTTCCCTCCATATCATCATCCACCATCTTCTTATTTCCCTTCCTTCCTCATCCCCTCCTCTCCTCCCTCCCCCTTTCCCTTTTTAGTCACTTTCCTTTGTCTCGCCTTCTATCTACCTACTAACTCTCTCTCTCTCTCAAAAAAAAAAGGCTGGATCCAAACCCACCAAACTCTCTCCTCCACCTCCCCCTCCCTCCTCTCCTCCCATCAATCCCATAACCCCCCTTCTTTTTGCGGTCTGGAACCCTCTGTCCCGCTCTTCCAATTCCTTTGGTCCAACTTCTCCGCCGTAGCAGGCGACCAGCCTTCTCTCGAGTGTTGGCCTCCTCTCGCCACCCGTGACCCCGTGAACTACGGGGATGAGTTGAGTCTGCACGAAGTGATGCTAGCGGGGTGGGGGATGCCGATCGGCGAGCTGTTTGATCTTGAGGAGTTGGCGAGGGAATGTAGAGACAGAAAGAGGTGGAGTTTTTTTGTTGTGAGCGAGGTGTGCAATGTGAAGGGTGGGGTTGCTAGGTAAGCTCATTTGTTTTGTTTTTTTCTTGACTCTCTGCGGAAGCGCGAGATGATGAGTGTTTTACTAATAGATCGGGTTGTTAGTCCTCCTAACGCTTTGGCGATCTTTTGAGGATGAAGGCTTGGATGGTTTATGGTGGATATTATGCCGGGTTTCTATAGGGATGATTTCATCGGCGGTAATGCTTTACGGGGAGGAGAAAGGATTGGGATAGAGTGTCCTGCTCTGAATATAAAGATATAATCTAAGAATGCGAGACACTCATAATCGTCTTGCTCGAATATTGGTTGTGAAGGAATTCATAGGAATGATCATGACTTAGGTGTGCTCCTTCACAGCTAAGTTGAATTATATCTTCGTGGGAGGCTACCAAATGATTGAAAGAAGCATCCATCATGAGACCATGTTCACCATTTACCAGTACGTAAATAAGTATCTAGTCAGTCGCTGAGGTATGTAAACTCGCTAAACGCACTAGCAAAATCCTTCTCAGTAGAGAGGAGAGCATCCATTCGATACTCATTCGTATTTCCATTCCCCGCCAACATGTAGGGAAGTAGATGACTACAATCAGTCAAGCCCTGAATGTGACACCGTTCAATAACACGTCTTCGTTCAGTCACGCCGTGTCCCTCTTTCCTTTGCTCCCACAGAACTCCTATGAAACCTTCGCTCAATTCCCTGACGTAGTTCCGTATCCTGACGCCATTTAAGAACTATACCCTCATAAAAACAGAAAAAATTAGCATCCTTTGAATCGATTGGCGTGGTGATTACGATCGCTTGCGGTCACTCAACGTTAAACCGACCAAGTCAGCATCTGATACCTTCGGATATATACGACAGGCCAGACGCAAGAAGAAGTGCTAAAGGAAGGGGGGGGGGGGGGGGG